TTTTTGTCTGTCTGTCTGTCCGTCTGTCTGTTTGTTCCGGCTAATCTCAGAAAAAGCTGGACCAATTTTGACGGGATTTTCACTGTCAGATAGCTGATATCAAAAAGAGTAACTTAGGCTACTTTTATTTTATAAATAGTATTAGGGTTCCGCGCAAAAAAATTAAAACCCCAAATAACACGCGGGAAAAGTCGCGGGGAACAGCTAGTTGCCTAATAAGTAACTTTTAAAGACAAACGTTCTAAGTTTTTTTTGAACGGGATTACTATTGAATATAAAACATAAAGAAAGTATATATAACCTATTTAATTATCAAAAATCATCAAAATCTGTTTACAATTGACAAAGATATCGCGTAACATTCATACAAAATAACAGTCATAATGAGAACCTTTTTCTTTTTTCTCGAAGTCGGCTAAAATATGTCATATGCAATAATTTGAAATTAAAAATTTTGAACAGCTGACTTCAATATAAGTTATTAAGAATAACTCAAAAACTATTAGTCTGACCTTAATCAAATTCATATGGGACCACACGAGAAGTACCAGCTTTTAAATAAAAAAAGAATCATCGAAATCGGTTCACCTAGTAAAGAAAAAAAAACATACAGTCGAATTGAGTACCGTCTCCTTTTTGGAAGTCGGCAGAACAAAATGATCATTGTGAAATGTTTCCACAGCCACACACTTTATTATCACAGATACGCATGACTGCCTTCTTGGTCTAGTGGTCGTGACGTCGCGCTTTCGAATTCCAGGTTGGGTCAAAATCAATTATTGGCTTTTTCTGTCAAAAACTTCTTAGTAGCAGCACGGTTAGCAAGTTGGTGGTGTTTGCCCCAGTGCATCGGAAAGCACGTAAAGCCGTTGGTACTGCGACTGATCGACACGATGACTATGGCAGTGGGGGAATAGATATTTTACCTGTTTTTGCTCATACACTTGGGCACTTTAATCCTGTCCTGTAATGTGTAAGTAGAAACTACTGTACCGAAATTCAGTCAAGAATACATAATTTTCATAGTTACCATATTTTTGCGTCATACCGTGTAATAGTTACATTTCAAAACGTGTTAATTAGAAAATTTATTAATTATATTGTTTTCAGTAAGCGTATTGATATCATGCGCTTACTGGCTTACCATCATCACCATCATCATTGCACTGCAAACGAAAGCATCGTAAATAATCTAATAAACAGAATAAAAAAATAGTTCGGAAAATCCAAAAGTGCACGCCTCATGAGCGTTTCATTATGTTAAAAAAAAATTAATTGTATGCCTGACTTTTAAAATATATTATTTACGTATTTTAAATTTAGCCCTCTATTATTTTAACAGGTAATGTCACCTACAGAGAAAAAAAATAATAATGTTCACCAAAATAAATCGATTACACAAAGTATAAAATCTATAATAGGCTGCATGGTACATTTGTCCTTTGTCTTTTAGGGGCTAAAAAAATATGAAAGCGTCTTTAAATTTTTAATAGCAATAAAACTTGAAAATCATTTTATTAACAAACTACGCGTACTAGGCTATTTATATGAAATAGGGAACAAGTTAACATACTTCTGAAGCTAATAGAAAAAAAAAAACCCGGTCTCGATACGTCGAGTTATCGTACCACATACAAAATCAACATCCGGACGTCCAAATAAATTTTTTTTCTAACCGTTTTTTTTTCATAGTTGCAAAAGGAAGGAACCGCAAGGAAGTATTCTGGGTCTTCTACTTTTTCTAATATATATTAATGAGTTACCAACAACAACTCCTCATAAAACGATTCTTTTCGCTGATGACGCAACAATCATTCTTAAATGTACGAACAAAAGGCGTTTTGAATTTGATATCAATAGTACATTAAAAGATATAATTGATTGGTTGAATTCTCACAACATGAGTGTAAATATAAATAAAATTAAAATAATGCAATTTCACACGATTAGAAGTAAGCAAACTAATTTAAGTATAAAGTATGATGAAAAAGTGGTACAAGAAGTTGGTTATTATAAGTTTCTTGGTATAACTATTGATAATAATTGTAACTGGAAAATGCATGTTCAATCGATATGTGACAAATTAAACAGATTTGTATTTGCGCTTCGCCGACTTCGAGAGATAGCAACTGCCAAAGCAGCGTTAAACGCCTATCATGGCTATGTCTCATCGATATTGCAGTATGGACTTCTGATATGGGGCAACTGTTCTGAAATAGAACGCGTATTTAGAATCCAAAAAAAATGCATTCGAGCAATCTGTGGAGCACATTCCATGGCATCGTGCAAGCCATTATTTAAAGAAATAAAAGTGTTACCACTTGCATGTATGTATATCAAACAAGCTGCGACTTTTGTCAAGCAATTCCCTGAATACTTCCCAACTAATATTTTTTTTAAGAGACAGAAGTTTAAGACAAAAATCTAATAACAGAATATACCTTCCGAAATGTAAATTGATGTTTTTTCAAAAAAATTCGTACATAATGGCGATTAAAATCTTTAATTCTTTACCCGACGAGTTTAAAAATTTCCCAATGACAAAGTTAAAAAACAAACTTCACGAATGGCTCTTACTTAACTGTTTTTATACCGTTAATGAGTATTTTGATCATAAAAATCAAAACAAATGACGTATTTAATATCCGTATCTAAATTGCTTGAATCTTTTGCTGTAAGTTAATAAAATAAGACTTCGATAGAATAATTATTGGTTGGTTGATTTTATTGTTTTTCATGTTAACATTTGTATTTTGACATTTTTGTAAATGATTGTGTGATATTGTACTTCATAATTATTCTTTTGACATTTATTTTATTATTAATTGGACATTTTTTATTAGTACTATTAGGACATAATTATATTAGACTAAAATTTATAAATAATTATTGTAAAGAAAAATGTATTGCAACTTATACTATTCAGTTAAAATTTGCACGCCTTGATAAGGCAGAATGTATCGGAACTTTATGCTTTAATAATACTTTTGTAAGATCTACCTACATTCTAAGCAAATAAATTATTATTATTATTAAAATAAAAAAAAATAAAAAAAAAATCAAATCATTTTTTAGAAAATATAAAATGTATTTATTCGAGTGTTTTCTTGATATACGGCTATTCATATTATTATAAAACTGCAATATGGTTACGATAGAAGCATTTTAAAAACACAAATTGCTTGACCTTGACGAGTCGAGAGTAATGCACTACCTAATAACGCTTAGCGTTATGAGGCATGTAATTGATAATCAATCTGATTTGATAACCAATCCAGACAGACATGTCTGAAGTGCTCATCAAATTCCCTTGTCTTACCTAACTAGAATTTAATAATTGACACAAATTTTGTTGTTTTAACAAAAATATCGTGATATAATCTGCATAAAGTAAAGTAAAGTTGCAGCCTATTTACGTCTCACTGCTGGGCACAGGCCTCCTCTCATTTCTGAGAGGGTTTTAGGGCAAGGAAATGTCCGCCGCGCTGCCCCAATGCGTGTTGGCGAACTTCACATGTCGTCGAAATATTTTTTTTACTTATTTCTCAGACATGCAGTTTTCCTTACGATGTTTTCCTTCACCGCCGAGCACATGGTAAATCAGCACTTAAAATTATAATTAACAATTTCATTGGTGCCGGCGGGGATCGAACCTGGGTCTCTCGAACTTACAGGGAGCGCTAACCATCTGAGCTACCACTGCTCAATGGTTTTTTTTAAATTATATGACATAACCTGCATAATGTTATATAATTTAAAGAAAAACGGCTCGACCGGGGAAGGACCACGCTCTCACAGAAAACCAGCGTAAAATAGCAGCTAAACGCTGCTGTGTTTCGTATGGTGAGTGTAGAGAACCGGAGACCCTTTTTACTGGCAAAGAGGCATTCCATCTTAGTCCTCACGGGTGACAACGCATCTGCATCTTGAGTCCTTATTGAGGATAGATTTAGATGTCTATGGGTCACAGTAACCACTTACCATCAGGTGGACTGTGTGCTCGTTTGTCACCCGATCCTATAAAAAAAAATTTAAACATGTGACAGTTAAAAAGTAAAGTTATAGTCTATATTTTGTTCTAATAATATATATAAAATAGACACATCCATCCTCAAGCAGGAACCAAAATGCAGATGCGTTGTCACCACTGAGGACTAAGGAATGCCTCGTTTTCACTAAAAAAAGGTCTCCGTTTCCCTACACTCACTATACGAAACACAGCAGCATTAAGCTACTATTTCCTTCAAGCACGGTCCTTCCCCGGTCGAGCCAACCCATTCGTGCTACAACCATAATATAGCTGCAGTGTGGCTCCTCTACGCACAAAAAATAACTTTATTAATTTTATTTACAGTCAAAAAATTATTTAGGTATTAGGTTGCCCCAAATCCCGCTCACAAATGAGAGGAAAGCCTTAAACCCAGCTATGCTAAATATATGGGATTTTATTTTACTATGATATCTTAAATCAACTCTTTTTCAATTTACTTTTTACGTAGTAAAGCCACGCAGCCATATGTAGGGCTGGGGCACGAATGGGTCTACGTGGAATAGAATAGACTTATTGAAAGTCTTTTTTTATTTACCACTGGTTCGGAAAACAACCCAGCCCTGGGAAGAACAAGCAAGAAACCCAGCGGCACTTTTTTTTTAAACATATTTCACTTAACAGTAACTTCGTTTATACAATTTTTAAATGATTTTTCATAGAACCAGCATGGTGGCGATCACCTTATTACAAAAAGGCGTATATATGTTTAACCCCCGACGAATACAGTGTATTATATGTTTAACGGGTGTATCTGTGTGCATCTGTAGCTCCCCAACGGATGAACCGATTTTGATTTTATTTTTATTTTTTGTTTGAAAGGTGAATTAATCGAGATTGTTCTTAGCTATAATTCAAGAAAGTCATTTCAGCCGTTTGAAGATTATAAGCTCTTTTTATTTCGGCGGTTTTTGATATTTTTTTTAATTTTATTTAACTTGATTGTTGTCAGGGTCTGTGCGATCGGGAAGCGAAGCAAGATGCGCGGGCGGGTGCCCCGCAATCGGCTTATCATAGCTGGCACCATCGTATTGCTCGCCGCAGCCGCCCTAGGCGCCGCCCTAGCGTGGAATCAGATCTTCGACGCCGCACTTAGCGCTGTAAGTAATTGCTATCGGAAAGTTCTCTTCAATGGTTTCTTATATTTTTATCGTGTTTAACATGTTGTACAGTACCTATGGTCTACGTTTCATCCGTGACCGTGGGTGCTGTTAAGCACCAAAAACGTTGTGAATTAAAAAGGTTAAATTACATATACATAAACACTCACGCCTGTCACCCAGAGGGGTAGGCAGAGACTATGGACTTTCATTTGGCATGATCCTGACATACCACTCTTGCTTCCTCCACATCCATATACCTACGCATACACGCTCGTCGGTTAAAAGTACTCTTGATTAGGCCCATTTTCAATATATTGCCAATCTGGTCGATAAAATCTTAAAAATCCACTGCCGACGAGGAAGCGATTAGCTATCGACTATTTTCTCGCTCAAGAAACGAACAACGATTTAGATCACGTATTGAAAGTTGTTCACACTGCCGGCGAGAACTCTCTTTCTCCACTAGTATGTCGCAGTGACAAGAGTTATCAAAGATAAAACTCGAGAACGCACGCTGAGAGACCAACGAGCAGTCATTTTACTATACAGTGCGGATCTGGGTGCACTCGCTTATAACGCAGCGGCAAAACTATCGGAACTACAAACTAGCTTCACGCTGCTCGCCAACTCTTATCTAGTTTCTAGCTGTACTCGCGTCTCATTCATCGTTGGCGGTGGGATAAGTGTCTTAGTGGTCTTTAAATTTTGCAACTAGCTACTTCAAAATGGTCTAAATGCATGTAAATAAGCCCCTCTGCTCAATAAACTGCAGTTATTTCAATACTACACACATTGATCTAACAAAAAGATAATGTGTTTTGTTAGGGTTCCGTACCGAAAGGGTAACCAACGTGACACCACTACTAAGCCTCCGCTATCCGTCCGTCCGTCCGTCTTTCAGCGGATTGTATCTTATGATCCGTAATAAGTAGACAGTTGAAATTTTCACAGAATGTGTATTTCTATTGCCTCTTTAACATCAAATAATAAAAATTAAAATAAATTAAAAGTTAAAAGGCGTGTATTACGTACGGAACCCTTCATGCGCGAGTCCTCGCACTTGGCCGCTTATTTTTAACTATCGCTCCAAAGTGTCTCGAGTCAGCTTAGTTGTTTCAACAACGAAGAGTACTTGGAAGCGTTATTTTCTTTGATATTGGATCTACAGTCACCGTTCGCGATGGAATGCACCGATGTTTTCGAGACCATATTATAAAAAAAGCAAATGTTTTTTTTTTTTTAAATATATTACATTAAGTTGTCCCTGTTGTGACTACATGAGTAAATAAATAAGTATATATGATCTGAAACATTTTCCATGGAATCTGTAACTTTCAGAAAGAACTAGAAAGAAGGCTGCAGAAGCGTTGTCACCTCTGACCTTGACGTTGTCACTTCTGGAATACCTCACAGCCTGTAATATGGGCAAATAATCTTCCACTCACCAGATCTCGCTAGTTATAAATCAGGTATAGTTTTGTGTTACACAATGTTAGTTAATTTAGAAATCAGTTTAAATAACAGTTTATCACTTTCTAGAGTATTATATTAATACACAAAACAATGCGTCAGGGGTTTGACCTTAATTTTTTGCACTTTTTACCTCTTTCTTATTTATTTTTTACTTTTATTTATATCCATACTTTGGTTTATTCAGTTCTAACCTAATGGATACAAAATATAATTAATAATACAGAAAGAAACATTTTCGTAAGAAATTATTTACCTCGGTATGAAATCTGTCAAATATTTAACGTCATTGCAAAGTGGCGCTGTCCTGATGGCAGAAAAAGTCGTGGATGCCCTCAGTATACCATCTCTATACCTATCACACCAAAATCCGGCACTGCTATTTGGCAACAGAAATAAGTGAGAGGGTTCATTTCGCAATGTAGACGCTCATTAAGAAGGGATTTTACGATATAGTCCCATAAAAAAAAATTTGATATCTTAAATCTACGTTATTATCGTCTATTATCATGCGCCCAGCAAAGCGAGCGGGTATCTGCTAGTCTGTAAATAAACTGGCTTTCTATACCCTTCACCGGAACTCATCAGTGTACTTACAGACTTCAAAACAGAAAAGGAATTACTTTTATTACTTTTCTTGACCATGTTGTAGCGACGTTAGAATAGAATAGAATAGAATAGGATAGCATAGACAAGAATAGAGTAGAATATAATAGAATAGAATAGAATACAGTAGTATTGAGTAGAACAGAATAGAGTAGAGCAGAATAGAATAAAATATAGTAGAATAGAGTAGAATAAAATAAAATAGAATAGAGTAGAATAAATAAAATATAGTAGAATAGAATAGATTAAAATAAAATAGACTAGAGTAGAATAGAATAAAATATAGAAGAATAGAATAGAATAAAATAAAATAGAGTAGAGCAGAATAGAATAAAATATAGTAAAATAGAATAGAATAAAATAAAAGAGAGTAGAGCAGAATAGAATAAAATATAGTAGATTAGAATAGAATAAAATAAAATAGAGTAGAGCAAAATAGAATAAAATATAGTAGTACAGAATAGAATAAAATAAAATAGAGTAGAGTAGAATAAAATAAAATAAAGTGGAATAGAATAAAATAAAATAAAATAATGTAGCGCAGAATAGAATAAAATATAATAGAGAAGAGCAAAATAGTATAATATGTAGTAGAATAGAATGGATTAAAATAAAATAGAGGAGAGCAGAATAGAATAAAATATAGTAGAATAGAATAGAATAAAATAAAATAGAGTAGAGGAGAATAGAATAATATATAGTAGAATAGAATAGAATAAAATAAAATAGAGTAGAGCAGAGTATAGTAAAATATAGTAGAATAGAATAGAATAAAATAAAATAGAGTAGAGCAGAATAGAATAAAATATAGTAGAATAGAATAGAATAAAATAAAATAAAATAGAGTAGAGTAGAATAGAATAAGATATAGTAGAATAGAATAGAATAAAGTAAAATAGAGTAGAGCAGAATATAATAAAATATAGTAGAATAGAATATAATAAAAAAAATAGAGTAGAGTAGAATAAAATAAGATATAGTAGAATAGAAGAGAATAAAATGAAATAGAGTAGAGTAGAATAAATAAAAATATAGTAGAATAGAATAGAATAAAATAAAATAGAGTACAGCAGAATAGAATAAATTATAGTAGAATAGAATAGAATAAAATAAAATAGAGTAGAGTAGAATAAAATAAAATATAGTAGAATAGAATAGAATAAAATAAAATAGAGTGGAGCAGAATATAATAAAATATAGTAGAATAGAATAGAATGAAATAAAATAAAGTAGAGTAGAATAAAATAAAATATAGTAGAATTGAATAGAATAAAATAGAGTAGCGCAGAATAGAATAAACTATAGTGGAATAGAATAGAATAAAATAAAATAGGGTACAGCAGAATAGAATAAAACATAATAGGATAGAATAGGTTAGAATAGAATAAAATATTATAGAATAGAATAGAGTAGAGTAGAGTAGTGTAGAGTAGTTTTTTTATTTATTCATATTTATTTAAATAATAAATACTAGTTAAGCTATCAAACATTACTAATATTCGTTAGATGTGGTTCACGGACGTAGTCGAATGGCAGATTCGAACCCACGACCTTTCGAGTTCGCGGTCCGCGCCTTTCCATTAGGCTACTGACGCTTAGTTTAGAGTTGAGTAGAGTAGAATAGAGTTGAATAGAGTAGAAAAGAGTAGAATAGCTTAGAATAGCGTGTAATAGAGTAGAATAGATTAGAGTAGAGGAGAGTAGAGTAGAGTAGAGCAAACGTATAGTAGAGTAGAGAAAAGTAAAATAGAATTGAATAGAATATAATATAATAGAATAGAATGGAATCAAATAGAGTAATATATAATAGAATGGATTAGAGTAGAGTATAATAGAGTAGAATAGACTATAGTAGACTAGAATAGGGTAGAATAGAGTAGAATAGATTAGAATAGAGTAGAATATAGTAGAACAGAGTACATTTGATTACAGTAGAGTAGAGTAGAGTGCAGTAGAGCAGAGTACAGTGGAATAGAATAGAATAGAATAGAGTAGTATTGAGCAGAATAGAATAGAGTAGAGCAGAATAGAATAAAATATAGTAGAACGTATAATAAAATATAGTAGAACATACGTGGTAGAGCCATGCTGCAGCTATATTTCTGGTATAGTTGTAACACGAATGGATCGGCTCGACCGGGGAAGGACCACGCTCTCACAGAATACCAGCGTAAAATAGCAGTTTAATGCTGCTGTGTTTCGTATGGTGAGTGTAGAGAACCGGAGACCCTTTTTACTGGAAACGAGGCATTCCATCTTAGTCCTCACGGGTGACAACGCATCTGCATTTTGATTCCTCATCGAGGATAAATGTAGATGTCTATGGGCCACAGCAACCACTTACCATCAGGTGGACTGTGCGCTCGTTTGTCACCCTTATCCTATAAAAAGAAAGGAACAGAACAGAATGAAATAAAATAGAGTGGAGTAGAATAAAATAAAATATAGTAGAATAGAATAGAATAAAATATAATAGAATAGAATAGAGTAGTGTAGAGTAGAGTAGATTAGAATGTAGAATAGAGAAGAATGGAGTATAATAGAGTGGAATAGTGTAGGATTGAGTAGAGTAGAGTAGACTATAATAGAATAGATTAGAGTAGAGTAGAGTAGAATCTTTATTCTACTCTTAGAAGAGAGTAGAATAGAGTAGAATATAATAGAATTGAATAGAGTAGAGGAAAATAGGATCGTATAGGATAGGATAGCATAGAAAAGACTAGAATAGAATAGAATATTTTTTATTCAATATGGATACATAATACTTATTGAAATTCATTCTTTGATTTACCATTGGTTAGGAAAATACCTTTGTCCTGGGAAGAACCAGCAAGAAACCCAGCGGAATATTTTTTTAAAACATTTCACTTTACAATCATTTTGTTTGTACAATTTTATATGAATTTTAACAGAACCAGCAT